AGTTATTTGCAGAAAGTCTTGAAAATTATATATCTACTTACAGTAGACTTGCAGTTGCATGGTGGTTTCTTTAGGCCGATCGAGGGCGATGTGACCGGCGACGCATCGAAGAACTTTCCCGTTGTCGGTCCAGTCCAAGGCGCGCGATGCATTTTGCACGGCCAATGAATTATCGTCCACGTTCGAGTCGTAAATCGTTGGCCTTTCCTCGTTGCCGATTGGCTCGTCGTCTAACGTTTCGAAACGAGGAAACGCGTTACAAGTGTATTCAGAAAGGGAAAGAAGAAGAAAAAGAATTAGAAGTTTCGAAATCGAAAATTTCCTCCATCCTCCCGCGCGACTCTAATTACCGAGGAACAAAGAAACGTTGGCCGCTGGACGCCCGCCTGGCGCGCTGCAACTCACTTCCAATTTTTCTCCCTTCCTATATATATTTCTTCCATCCGATCCTTGACTAGTGTGAAGCTCTGGATTATTCGGCGGTTCTGTAAATCGAGTTCCAAGCATTAATTATTCCCTTCGGTTCCGCAACAACGAGAGCGTTCAATTTTCGTATCCAGAGTCGAGCTTTAAAAACGGGCCGGGACACGTCGAATCTCGTTAATCCTCTCTCGCCATCGAGGAGGAAAAAACTAAATCTTTATTTAAATTCGTTTCGAAACGAAATCTCTCTCTCTCTCTCTCTCGATCATAGCCCGTTTTCATCATTTATCTCTATCGACTTTATTTGAAAACAGTAATTTCCTTTCGCGTACCCCCCCTACCACCTCTCTCGCGTAAGCAATTCTCTTAACGAAGATTAATTAGTTCTCGAATTCTCCCATACACGTAGACGACGGTTATATTTTTCACATTCACACGTATACACGGGGAGGGATATACTTTCCTCGGACAAGTAACGTCACGAAGTTTCACAGCGATTTTCTCATTAATTTCTGAAAAACCTCGACGTAAAAACGACGACGATTAATTACGAGCGGATTTTAATTATTAGCTCCGGCTCGTTTCGAATTAAAAATACGATACACGATATCATACGACGCGTGTCGTTCTATCGCCGGTTATTATAAGAAGATAATATTATCTCTGGATACACACTGGCCACGATGATCCTCATGGACGCCTGCTCCTCCGTTCGGCTGTCGGTCGTGGTCAGGGTGCATTTGAATGTTCCATCGTGGCTTTCCTTGATCTTGGCTATGCGAACCCCGCATTGGCCCGCCTCTGTTCCTTCTCCGTAATACTCGATACCGTCTTCGGGCGGTTGTCCCTTCGACAACACTATACCACCTTCCTCGCCAGGTATCTCGACGCGGCACACCCGAAGCGGTCTACCCACTCTGCACAAAATTTGCAGGCTCTCGCCCAATCGGACGGCCGTCGGTCGTTTTGGCTCGATGTCCACGACTAGGTTCGATTTCGATGCTGAAAAATATTAAGAGAAAAGATGTTAAAATGCTAAATTCTATTTTTCTATTTTTTATTTTTAATTTTTGCGAATTCTCCCCGAATTCGTGAAATTATTTCACGCGGAGATATTATCGTGGGAGTGGTTTTATCAAGGTTTAATTAAGTAAACAAGGTATGTACTACGAAATAGGGATAAGTTTGTGGAAGAGATCGGGGAAAGGTGTTTAATTTATGGACGCGTGTCTCGTTTCAACGGGCTTGTAAATTGTAATATGATCAAGAAGACGTAAAAGCGCGCCTTCGTCGACTTTATCGTGGGCGACGAAGATTTAATGCAACTTGAAATTGCCACTTCGGCTCAAAAAACGTTAATTTTAATTCTTTAAATTCGTCTAGTATAGCAAGATGATACTAATCAAGACGACATTTTTTCAACACTTTGAAATATTCGCGACGTAAAACTCGTGTAAGGATAAAAAGCACGAAAATATTTTATAGTTTTATGCTCTTTCTTTACTTTATTTCTCCCTTTAACTCTATAGAATTGATTCCCTCTGTAGAATCTTTTTATTTTATTTCTTTACACCGTTAATTTCCCTTTCTCGAATTCTTTAATTTTTACCGCGCAATAGTTAAATTCAAAACGTTCGTCTCTCTTTCTCACTCCCGTCCGTGGTTCATATTCCTCGAATACATTGCGAAAATTCTTCACTGTCTTTAGTTTTAATCCACGCTCGATTTCATACGGATCGTAAATTTCCGTGGTATCGAAACAGCAGCTAATCTCGAACGCATTGCCGGTGAATTTTAATCTGCATTCCTGCCAGGATACGTGTGGCGACACGAAGCGACAGGGAGACAATTATAGCGCTGGATTGAACGGTGTTTTAAGATTTATGAGACAAACACGAAAGTTGATTAAATTCTGCTCTCCGAAAGAAATTTTCAAACGCTAAAAGAAAAGAAAGAAAGAAAAAATACAACGAAAAAAATTTCATTAGTATCGAAATTTATAAAAATTCGCATTAAACGATAATGAAAAATTTTTTTGCAAAAAAACTATTTTAATAATTTGCCATTGGACCTTTCGATGCTCCACGATAATAATTTCCAAGCGAAAACAATCCCGAAATTAAATAAAAGCTTACGCGCATCACACGAAATTGCAGCATATTCAAATTAATCGCTTCCACCCTTGTTTTATCGATTTATCGACTAATCAAACAACGCAAGATTACCTTTTCTCCCCTTCCAATCGAATTTCCCTATATTTAGCCCACGATTCAAGGCTCGTAGATCGTTCGTCTACAACAACGAAAAAAAAAAAAAAAAAAAAAAAAAAAAAAAAAAAAA